CACTTAACATTTTCACTCTCTCTCTCTGATAATTGTCTTAGTAAACAATGCTTAAGTATCACCAGTGGTCCACTACTGGTTATCAAAAGATTTGTGTGAAAATATTACACTAGTAGATTTTCATTGCAATATTTAAAAGGTGATAGTGACAACACATTAATATAATATTGAAGTAGTTACTTGTTGCTAATTTCTAGTTTTAAAACATTTATAATACAAAAGGGTTAAAGGTTAGTCACCAAAAAAGTGCCCTAAAAAATATAAGGCAGTATAATCTAAGTTTCATTTACTTCAGTTTCATTTACTTCTTCTTAATGAAGAAGTAAATGAAACTGAATTTTTTTTACTAAGGAATAAGAGGTAGTAAACGAAGCTTAAAAATGTGCTGACACAACATGATACAGACATTTAAAAATTACAGAGGTGAATTAAAGTTCCCTTGACCTTCAACTTAAGTGTGGCTCTACTATCATCAACCACGGAGTTACACATTGTATAGATGTATCAAAATATTACATGTAACTCCAAAATATGTGCAACTAGGATATATCAATAATTTTTTTAAAAAAAGAAAAAAAACCATCTAGTCTAGAAGGAGCCCTAAAGCTCTGGGTGAAACAGTCTTGCTTTCCCTGACCTATCCTTATCCTATCCCTGACCTATCTCTTGACCTATCCATCAAGAAAAGAGTGTGGTGAACCAACAGTAAAAAGACACCCTTCCCTGAAAAGGAATCTACGACTGAGGTCTTCTACCAGCCATCAGGATCAAGAAGGAACCCAAACTACCTCTCTACCCAACCTCTTCAAACACTCAAGGTCTCACCTTATTTGCTTGAAGTCTACCAGGGCCAATCTCATAACAACTTTCTCCTGTTTTTATGTCAGTCATCAAGACTGCAGGTCCATCCTCACTTGCCTCATCCACACAGCTACGAACTTCCCCTATTATGTCCACACCTGCCACCCCTCTTTCAACAGCCAAAAGCCTTCCACTATGCTCTGAAAACAAGACGCAGTGTACCTCATCCTTTTCTCTGAATATCCCTTCTGCTTCTTGCCCCAACAAAAACTTAGATTGATCCTGAAACCCACTGTTTACTCTGTAGCTATCTCAATGTTACTCTGCTCCCACAGCTCTTGTATCACTGGGTTTGGATGATGAGGTAGGTTTCCTTGTCCCTCAATATTAATTCTACAACTCTCTTAAAACCTTCCAGCAAAAAAATTGATGTCACTAGACATTAGCACCCATTATGTCTCATCATTAGAGTAGGATACACTACAAGCCCTCTAGTCATCCACCTGTTTTTGTATAGCTCAACAGCTAAGAATGATTTTAATATTTTTATTTTATTTTTATCTTTTTTTTTTTTTGAGATGGACTCTCGTTCTGTCACCAGGATAGAGTGCATTGGCATGATCTTGGTTCACTGCAATCTCTGCCTCCCGGGTTCAAGCGATTCTCCTGCCTCAGCCTCCCAAGTAGGTGGGACTACAAGTGCATACCACCACACCAAGCTAATTTTTATATTTTAGTAGAGATGGGGTTTCACCATGTTGACAAGGATGGTCCTGATCTCTTGACCTCATAATCCACCTGCCTTGGCCTCCCAAAGTGCTGGGATTACACGCGTGAGCCACCATGCCCGGCCATTTTAATATTTTTAAATGGCTTTTTAAAAAAATCAATTAGTCTTCATATATGACAAAATAAAAAAGAAAAAGAGATTTAAGAAATAAAAAATCAAAAACTAAGACTATTTCATGACATGTGAAAATTATATGGAATTTAAGTTCCACATACTTAATAATAAATACTAAGTATATTCCATTAAGTGTCCATAAATAAAGTTTTGCTAGAACACTGCCACATATGCTTGTTTACAAATTGTCTATGGCTACTCTGTTCTACAGAAGGAAAGGTCCGAGTACTAAAAAGAGCCAGTATGGCCTACAAAACCTAAAATACTTAGCATTTAGCCCCTGACAAAGTTTGCCAACCACTGCCTTAGGACCTATTTTACTGTCAGTCTTCAACACTACTCTTATTTTACTTCTTAGATAATTCAATATACACCTAGACAATCTTTTATAACCTCCGGTATCTCCATTCCTTGACAACTTCCCCTCCATTGATCTTGTCTTCCGCCCTACATCAGTCCCTCACACCCTGATCACATTCTAGATTCTGATATTACTAAATAATCTCAAACCCTCAATAATCTCCATTTCATACATTCTACTCTTAAATACCACTTCGTATTTCTAACTCACTCTTGACTGCTCCAACAATCTTTGGGGTCTTGCTATGTTGCCTAGGCTGGTCTCAAACTCCTGGGCTCAAGCAATCCTCCTGCCTCAGCCTCCCAAAGTACTGAGATTATAGGCATGAGTCACTGTGTCCAGCCTTCAACAATCCTTTAATTTCACCAGAAACCATTAACCAGTATATATTATCCCTCACATCTATTGTTCTGTTCTTACTTCCCTACCCACTGGGTTTAAATATAATGATCCATCATTATAACCCCCTTGGCATTTACTCTCACTCATTCACTATATTCAGATGGTGAAATAACCTGACCAAATCCTACTCTGTGCCCACATCCATAAAGATGAACAAGAATAGAGAAAAACAAAAAGCTGTGCAAATGTGCCTCATCTTAAAGTCTTGACTATGAACCTCAGGTAGAACCTTGTGGCTACCCACAAATCATACACATCATAGTAATTTTCTTTCACATTATTATAGTTAACTATCTCATGCTTTTTTTATCTTTGTTCAAAACTCTAATACTCCTCAAATCGGCCCGGCACAGTGGCGCATGCCTGTAGCCCCAGCTACTCAGGAGGCTGAGGTGGGAGGATCACCTGAGCCCAGGAGTCCTGGGCTGTAGTGCGCTATGCCAATCGGGTGTCCGCACTAAGTTCAACATCAATATGGTGACCTCCCAGGAGTGGGGGACCACCAGATTGCCTAAGGAGTGGTGAACTGGCCCAGATCGGAAATGGAACAGATCAAAATTCCCGTGCTGATCAGCGGTGGGATCTCATCTGTGAATAGCCACTGCACTCCAGCCTGGGAAACAAAGCAAGACCCCATCTCTTTAAAAAAAAGAAATACTCCTCAAATCGTCACAACTAAAACCACTGATTCTTACTTAACTGAAAAACCTCTGAATTTATCACAAGATGTTTTCCCCCAAATCCCCTCCCTTCCCATATTCTAGGGGACATCACTGTAGCAATATTCCTGTCTTTTCTACCATTTCATTATTCCTCCTCTCTACTGAATCATTCCTATTAGTGCACCTAACATCCCATTATTTATCTTATTTTAAAAAATATCCTTCATTATCTCCACTTCCCTAACCTCTTCTCCTATTGAGAAGTAAAGCTTCTCAAAGCAATCATTTATACACACAGTCTGATTTTTCTCCCCCACTGCCTCTATAAAGCACTCCCATCAGATTTTGCCTCAATCAGTACTTTAAAACTGTACATCAAGGTCAGTAATGACCTCCACAAGACTAAATCAAAGAGCTAGTCCTTCATATATGACACAGTTCTCCTAACCCCACCTTTCTTTAACTTGGCTTCCAGCATACCACATCATCTTAGTTTTCTTCCAAACTCTGGCCTTTTCTCAATCTCCTTTGTTGCTTGTATCTCCTCTCCCAGACCTTTCAACACAGGAGGTCCCTGGGCCTCCTAAGGCCTATTGTTTTCTCTACCTGCACTCACTTCTCCCTTAGTGGTATCATTTCAGTGTGGTGGCTTTAAATAACTGAATATGCATACAACTCCCACATTTAATATCCAAAATTTAGACCTCTTTTCTGAATACCGGACTAGGTATCCAACTGGCTAGTCAGCATATCTACTTAGATGTCTAGTATAAATAGATAAATCTCAACCCCAACGTATCTGTGGTAGGCAGAACAGGATCCCTCAACCAAGATGTCCACATTCTAATTCCTGAAACCTGTGAATATATTACATGTCAAAAGATACTTTGAAGAAAGTCACGAGGGCTCAACCTTTGTAAGTATTCAGAATCTGATCACCTATCACTACCTCTATTGTTACTGCCATCTCTCTCTGGATGATTGCATACCTTCCTAATGGCCTCCATTCTGACTTTCCACAGCCTGTCCAAGACAAAGCAACCAGAGGTCCTTTCAAAACTTAAGTCAGACCATGTTACATCTCAATTTAGAAACCTCCAATACCTCACTTTTCAGTCAAATTGAACACAAAGTCCTTACATTGGCCTACCAGACCTTGTATAATGGGCCCCTCACCCTAGATTCATCTCCTACTCCATTTCCCAACTTGCTTATTCTGTCTCAGCCTCCTTGTTTTCATATTAACCACAAGGTAATAATCCTAGTAATACTTAATAGTTATTATGAACCAAATGCTGTTCTAATTGCTTTACATGTATTCTGTCCTTCAATTTCACTAATTATTTCCCCCACTTTACAAATGATAAAACTGAGTTACCCAGAGGTTAATTAACCTAAACATTCAATCAGTAAAAGGCTAGGCCAGAATTCAAAATCTAAGGTGAATGAAGTCTACCCACAGCCAAAATTCTCTGTCTCAATGATGCTTCCCACTTGTTACCCTTACTTAACAGGCTTTGGAAACAAGTACAGAATAAACAGAGGGTAGATAAAGGATTAAGAAATGAGAATTCTAGGCCAGGCGTGATGGTTCACGCCGTAATCCCAGCACTTTGGGAGGCAGATGGATGGCCTGGGTGACAAGAGCAAAAAACTCCATCTCAAGAAAGAAAAAGAAAAAGAAAAAGAAAAAGAAAAAGAAAAAGAAAAAGAAAAAGAAAAAGAAAAGAAAAGAAAATTGAGAATTCTAAGTGCCTGATGTATGGTTGAAAAGGTGGGAAAAGCTAGGGAATGAAAACTGTTTTTAGAGGTGAAAATCAGCACAATAACTACTTATTATATAAAACAAAATATGATACTTAAAACTTACTTTTTCTGTAGTAACAGTCAAGGATGGAACCAATGCAGGTGACGGTTCTGGCTGCTTCTTGTGTTTTTGCTTGTGTTTGTCCTTCTCTTTGTATTTCTAAACATGAATATAAGTAAAATCCAATTTAAATTTGAACTATAACCCCTATATATGCAGTAGTTTTATTACAACTAGTAATTTAAAATATTAACAAATACTTCTATCAAAAATTACTTCCTCTGATCACAGTGTCGTTTTATATATACACAAGTAATACTAGTGTGAGTTTGTTTTTAAGTAAGTTCAGCTCCTTTATCCTTAACCAGTCTAAACTAATACAAACAAACAAGTGAAGTCTGTAATTATTTCCTACATTTACATTCAGTAAAATATACAGTTTTTCTTTTTAAAAACACCAAATGCTTTGTGGACATTTAAAAACAGCACTGTAAAGTTTACATAGCACTTCACATCTGAACAGTACCAGATTTTCCTCTACCATGCATGAGAATTTCTCCAGAAACTAGAGGCACAGACACTCTGGCAAAAAATTCTTTCCTGGGTTTACTCAAAAAAATAGATCAATTAGTTATCTCTAACAAAAAAAATTTAGATAAAGTTAGGGTGTGCTATAAAGTGCTAAAGCTGATGAGCTAAATATAAAAAGGAATTCAATAAAATAAAAAGTTGATTACATGTTGGAAGTCCAACCTAATATCAGATAGTTTTTTATCAAAATGTTCTGTTGTTTGAATCACTACATAAAAAACAGTATTGGGTATGAAATGTAGTACTATTTCAAGAGTTCACTGAACTTATTTATTTCTCATGATGCTTAAAATCTGACCACTGAGGGGCCTTAATCTTTTCAAATCATGAAAGATTGGTATCACTGTCCTTGCCCTAAAAGGTTTACATACAAACAGAACAAAATGCATACAAATTAAAGATAGATGTTTTACTCTAATGCCCTCAAAATAATGCCTTTTTTTTTTTTTTTTTTTTTTGCTTTTAATTCCTGACCTAAGTATGTGAGATGTTTTCAGGCTGCAATGTTAGTACTTTAGCAACAGTAAATGTAAATTAACACAATACTACTTTTTTCTTTTTGAAACAGGGCCTCACTCTTGTCACGCAGACTGGAGTGCAGTGGTACAATCACAGCTCACTATAGGCTTGACTTCCTGGGCTCAAGGGATCCTCTCACCTCAGCCTCCCAAGTAGTCAGGACTATAGGCATGTGCTGCCACACCAAGCTTTTTTTTTTTTTTTTTTTTTTTTTTTCTCCTTTTTAAATAATGCAGTGACACCATCTCGGTTCACTGCAGCCTCTGCCTCCCGGCTTCTGGCAATTCTCATACCTCAGCCTCCAGAGTAGCTGGGACTACAGGCACATGCCACCATGCCTGGCTACAGGCTAATTATTTATTTATTTGTTTGTTTGTTTTTGTAGAGACAGGGGTCTCTACAGACTGTTGCCTAGACTGTTCTCAAACTCCTGGGCAAAGGCTATCTTCACACCCAATAATGTTTCTAATTCAGACTTTATAGGAAACATTTTTATCTAAAAGTTATTTTGATTGTGGCAAATAATGACTCCCCAAAGAATCATGCCATATTCTCTGCAATGGGTTATCACTACACTTCTCATGCTAGATATCCTCTTCTCCACTCCCTTGAACCTGGGTTACCCTTATGACTTGTGATACTCAACAGGATGTGGTAGAAGTGATAGTGTATAAGCACAGAAACCTGGAGTTTTAAGAAGTCTTTATGGCTTCCACGTTTGCCACCTCAGTTCTCAGCCACCACATAAAGAAGCATTCCACACTCCTCATGGAGAGGCCAAAAGGAGAATGAGGTCATATGGGGAAGAACTGAGGTACTCTAGCCTATAGCCAGCAGGACCTAGTGCCAGACATGTGAGTAAGACCAACAATGACCACCTAGCTAGCCACCAGCTTAATGAATCCTCATGAGTAAATCCGGCTGATACCACATAGAAGAAAGATACATCATCCCTGCTGAGCTCACCTGTTATAAGCCATTAAAAGTCATCGGGTGGTTTAAAGCAATAGTTTAACTGAAACCAGACTATAGTACACAATTGGGTCACAGGAGCTAAAGAACGTACAAATTGAAAATAACAATATAGGCCAGGCATGGTGGCTCACAACTGTAATCCCAGCACTTTGGGAGGCCAAGGCAGGTGGATCACTTAAGCCAAGGAGTTCAAGACCAGCCTGGGAAACATAGCGAGACCCCATCTCTACAAAAAATAAAAAATTGGCCAGGTGTTGTGGTGGAAACCTGTGGTCCCAGCTAATAGGAAGGCTGAGGCGGGAGGATTGCGTGAGCCTGGAAGGTTGAGGTTGTAGTGAACTGTGATCATAACACTGCACTCAAGCCTAAGTGACAGAGACCCCATTTATTTAAAAAAAACAAAGTAACAATATTAGAATATTTGTGTGTTAATACATGGATATAGTTTGGCCGTGTCCTCACCCAAATCTCATCTTGAATCGTAGATCCCATAATCCCCATGTGTCATGGAAGGGACCTGGTGGGAGGTAATTGAATCACCCCAGCGAGTTTTTCCTTGCGCTGTTCTCATTATAGTGAATAGATCTCACAGATGTGATGGTTTCATAAAGGGCAGTTCCCCTGCATATGCTCTCCTGCCTGCTGTCATGTAAGACGTGCCTTTACTCCTGCTGCTTTGCCTTCTGCCATGTTTGTGAGCCTTCCCCAGCCATGTGGAACTGTGAGTTCATTAAACCTCTTTTTCTTCAGAAATTACCCAGGCTCAGGCATTTCTTCATAGCAGTATGAAAATGGACTAATACACACAACAAAATAACAAATTTATACATTCTAGTCTATGAAGTTCAAATGATCCTGGCCTGTAACTGTTATATCAATGTTTTTCTCCCTACAAAGATAGTTAAGAAGCCTTTCTATCCTCCTTTACTCTATATATTCTACTTCCCATTCTGGGCTTCGTTCTTCAAGTTTACAAGAGCTGAGAAAATTTAATGGTGAATGATCCTGAATAACAAAAAAGCAAACAAACAAACCCTAACAACTTACAAAACATATGAGAGTAAAAGGCAAAACATATACATGTACATGTGTGAAAATATACAATATGGAGATATACAAAGCAAATGAACAATACAGAACTCTGGTCCTCTGTGATACATCAAGAAACGTATCCTGCAATGAGCATTACAAATGTTCATTGGAACCACTGTGCATGGTTTATATCCATACGAACAGCCTATCAAATGTGAATCAAAGAAATCTAATGACTGTCACTAAAAAGATATGCTGATTTAAACAGATTAATAGAAGAAAGGAAAAAACCAAAAAAGTACTCAATTATATATGAAAATTTAGTATATGATAAAGAGAAGATTCCAAATCAGAAGACAAAGACTAAAATTACTTAATAATGGTACTAGAACTGGTTAATAATTTAACGAAAAATATCTTACACAAAATAAAACAAAATCCAGATAGATTAAAGAGTTAAATAAAAATTAAAATAATCTAAAAGTTTGCTAGAAAGTATTTTTAAAGTAAGGAATGAAAGACTTTTCTAACTAAAAAAAAAAGTAAAAAACTACAGAAAGGGAAAACACAGATTTAGCTATACAAATCTAAAAATAAATCATTAAAAAACAATAACCAAACTGGGAAATCAGTCAGGTTACTCTGTATTTTATTTCTGTTTAAATTTTTTAATAAATTAATAAGAAAACACATATGCCATTGAACAATGTACAAAGACCATGACTAGGAAATTAAAAAAAAAAAAAAAAAAAAAAGCCACTAAACAGCAACAGAAACATGCAACCCAAGTATTAAACAACTAAAGGTAGTATTTTTCTCCTGTATGTGACCAAAGTTTTGGGGTTTTGTTTTTAATGACCAGATCTAATATTGCCTAGGGAGATGAGCACTTGCATATATTACTAGAGAAAATGTAAACAAATGAAGAACACTTTTTTTTTTTTTTTTTTTTAAGAGATTAGGTCTTGCTATCTTGCCCAGGCTGGTCTTGAAGTTCTAGGCTCAAAGGATCTTTCTGCCTTAGCCTCCCAAATATCTGGGACTACTGGCACACAATACTGAGCCAAGCTGACAATTTTTAAAACAAGAGTTAGAAACCATAAAATTATTGATACCATGTGACCTAGTAATTTCACCTCTAGGAGGGTGTATAAAGATTTAAATATAGTGTATCATACTTCTGTTTACGATGGGGGGAAAAAATAAAAATAACTTGTCCAACAACAGAGCTGTACTTGAAAAAATATGATTATGGCCATTAAAATAAGCATGTTGTTAAAGAATAGTCAGAGATTTCAGAAAATTGTTAATAGGTGAGTTTTGTTCGTGGTTCACAGATTACATATGTACTCTTCAAAACTCTGAATTCTTCATGGCCTGAAGATATGAATTGACAAGTATTATCTTCACGGCTTATTAAGTCAAGATAGCTAATGTCACACTCAACTGAATCAGTATGTATTAACTAGCAATACAAAACCAGAATTGTAAAAGTTTATAAATATATATGATATCTCAATCCTTAAAATAGTCCTGTGAGGAAAATTCTATTTATTTTTTTTACAGAAAGGTATGGCTTAAACAAGCACAAGATAGACTCTTACCTACACCCGCCAAAAAACATAACCAAAACCTAAAAAAAGAAGTTTTCAAAATTTAAAGAAAAAGTAGGTAAGGTACTCATGATGAGAAAATTCTAAAATAGAAAATCAAGAGTGAGGGGAAAAAAAGAAGAGACAGAAACAGAAGAGAGAGAAAAGCTTATGATAATAAAAGAAACTAAAGACAGTTAAACACAGAGGGTTGTGTTGTTTTTTTTTTCTTTTTTGAGATAGTCTCACTCTGTTACCCAGGCTGGAGTGCAGTGGTTTCATCCCAACACACTGCAACCTCCACCTTCCGGATTCAAGCAATTATCATGCCTACGGCCACCCACATAGCTAAGATTACTGGTGTATGCCACCACGCCCAGCTAACTTTTGTATTTTTAGTACAGACGGGGTTTCACCATGTTGGCCACGCTGGTATCAAACTCCTGACCT